GGGTGGTGGCGGCGGTGATGGGGTGGAGGTGGTATGGCGGGTGGTGTTGTGTGGTGGGGAGCGGGGAGGGGGTGTATATGCTGCGTAGGGGTGGTGGTGGGGGGGGGAAGGTGAGGGATGAGGAAGAGGGGGAGAGGAAGGGAAGGGATGGGGAAGAGGGAGAAGGGAGAAAGAGGAGGAGGAGAGGTGCGAGGAGAGAGATGGAGATGACATGGAGTGGGGATACTGTTGCGGAGGAGGGGAGGGAGGGGGGTGTGGTGAGAGATAGGGAAAGCGGGAGGGAGAGAGAAAGGGAAGAGGGCAGGGAGAGAAGGAATGGGAATGTGCGGGCGGATTAGGATAAGCGTTTGGATGAGGTCGATTGAAAGGGAAATTCAATTATGGGCGAGCCGTGGGTGGTTGTGGAGGAAAAAGGTTGAGCTGTGTTGTCGTTCTTGTTGTGTTCCATCACCCTCCATATACTACTATACATCGTTCTATACATTACATAAATACTCAACACCATCGATAAGCGTTCCTTAAGCTCCTGTTTCCTCCTGCCACCATGCACACATCCTGATTCTAGCCGGTTGTATTACACTATCCCACCACCACATCACCACTCATGGCCTATCACCCCTCCCTCCCTCCCTTCCTCCCTCACATTTAAACCACCAGCCGGGACCTCCATGTTACCTTCATCCATCTCCCCCTCAAACAATGAAAAGCAGCATGCTATACCAGTACCTACATGGGCCGAAAACGACATCTCTCTCTCTCTCTCTCATCACACACAACAACGATAGTCGAGTTAAACCCAACGATCCATCCATCCATCCGTCTGTCCGTCCATCCGCGAACTCGAACTCGAACTCGAGAGCTGAACCCCATCATGCCGAAAAATACGAAAAAAGACGACAGTATGAAAGTATGAAAGAAAGAACTTGATTCCATTTCCACACCAGCAATACCATGTAATACCGTACAAATACTATGTACTAGTAGTGAGTATATAATTACTAGACAAATAACCGTTAAAAACCCCAAACCCCAACGCCGAGAACCGAGAACCAAAACACGAAAACACAAAAAAAACTCAAAGATGCACTCCGATGTAATCTACCATAGTCCACCACCATTTGCATCCGCGGCCTCCATTATCCACACATATAGAGATATGATTACACCCCCAACCTCAACCACAACCACATCCCTCAGAATCAGTCCGTATCTATCGGCTACCGTGCGCTGCCAATCGGATACTCATACTGGTACTCGTATTGATATCTCAGCCCCCGCTCCCGCTCCCTCTCCGGCTGCGGCGCAGGCGCAGGCGTCGAATACAGATCATCATCATCATCATCGATCTCGTCCTCATCCTCATCCCCACCATCATATCCCCTCTCGGCCCTGCTCCTCGCTGTCTGGCGAGCGTGACCATGACCATTTGCATGGCTCCCGGTATTACTGTAGTATCGACCATGTTGCGAGTATTCCTCCATCTCATACACCTCCCTCCCGGCAGTCTCGTCTCGATACTCTCGCGCTGTGTTCCGCCTCTGCTCGCCGTCATACCGGCCTTCCGTTTGTGGGGCTGTGTACCGTGGCGGAGGCGGGGTTCGATACTCCCTCTCGCGATCGCGATCGCGCTCATAACTCACCGCCCTCCCCATAGCCTGCGCATTCCCATACCCCCCGGTATTATACTCCCTCGCACTCTGCACCGACCCCACTCTCTGGCGCTCCGTACTCATGCTCGGAGGCGTAGGATACCGTCCCACCGTCCCACCACCACCACCACCCCTACTCCCAGTCGTCCCAGTCGTCCCAGTCGTCCCCCTACTCCCTGGCCGCTCCCAGCTGTTCTGCCGGATATGTGATTGCGCGGTGGTGTAGCGGGATGGGGGCGCGGGACGGTGGTGAACGGGGGATGGGGCCTCGTAGGAGATGGGGCTGGAGGTGTAGGTGTAGGAGGGATGCGGACCGAACATGCCCCCGGTGAAGCGGGTGCGTTCGCTCATTGCTGGGGTTGCATGGGGAGAGGGGGAGGTGAGGGAGGTGGTGGAGGAGGTGGGGTCCTGTGGGGGGGAATTGGAGGGGAAGGGACTGTAGGTGGAGGTGGTGGTGGTGAGGGGGGGTGGGGGTGGGGGTGGGTATTTCTGCTGTTGGTTCTGCTGTTGTTGAGGAGCTTGATGATGCTGCTGAACTTGTTGCTGCTGCTGTCCCGGCCCTCCAAACCTCTCATACATTGCCAATCTCATCTCCTGCTTCTCATTCGGATACCCCACCGACCCATAACTCTCAACACTCGCCTTCCTCGCATGGAAGCTCCTCAAACTCCCGCTCCCGCTCCTCTGCGGCGAGTGGCTATACGCTGGCGGCCTCGGCGTCTGGCTATGCGTGCTCTGATGATCGCCCCACGTCGACCCTCCATCACCAAGCGTATCATTCAGCTGGTATAGTTTCGGGCTCGGGGCGGGGCCGGGCGGTTTGATCTTTGGTGTTGATGATGTTGAGCCGTGGTGAGAGGGAGGAGGACCGGGAGGAGGCGGCGGGATGGGAGAGGTGGTGGTGGTGGGTGGGGTTAACGGCTTCTGCGGAAAGATGTCGAGAGGGCCGGTGACGATGGGAGTGGCGATGATCTTGGTTGTTTGGTCTGCGGAATCGGGGTTGGTGGTGGTGGAGGTGGGAGGAGAGAAGTGGAGGCGCCGAAGAGTGTAGGCGGTGCCTACGAGGAGGATAGAGGTTGCGGCGACGCTGCCAACGCAGATGAGGATTATGGCGAGGAGGGAGAGCGCCATATTGGTCGTGAGGCCGGTGAGGTTGATTGAGGTCGATCCAGTCAGTACTCAATTGTCAATCGTCAATCGTCAATCGTGTTTGTCGGCCGCCGCCAGGTACCGGTTTCGAGAGATGATTTCAACAGCACATCCTTTTCCGGTTCCTTTTCCCACTGCTTTGTTCACCTTCCACTATTAAATATCCCCCACCTCCCCCCGGCTCTCGGTCTCTGGCTCAAGCTCCGACCAACACCCCATCCATCCCAAGGCTCGCCGCCGCCGTGGGCGCGTAAAAACGTGCAGCCTAGAACTTGGTCACAGCGCTTCGCTGCACGCCATGGACTGTGTGTGACGAATGGGAGGCTGGAAACCGTTGGGTGCTGGGAGCGACATGCTGGAAGCGGTGGGCGGGTGGGGTAATTGGTGAGGATGGGGTTTTGTGGTTGTTGTTGGACATGGCGCTGGTAGTCGGTGTCTGCGTCGGCGGTTCAATCGCTGCGGTGCCAGTGGGTTTGATAAATAATCGTGTTATCTATTATCTACTACTCTTTGAGCTTTTTTTTTGGTTGCAGAGGTGGGCGGATAGAGATTATTCAGTCTTTGGTCCGGAATAAGATCAGAAGAAATACAACTCACGTTGGATACAGAAACCTCCGCTCCATCATCCCCGCCCACCTCCATCGCTTCTATGCATACGTCAACGCCCATCCCATCAACTGTTGGTATCGTGCATGTTTAGCCTGCGTCGCCAACCGGCATAGCACAGGCGTTATCAATCACGTTTGTTCTCGATCGTTTCGATTCTCTGTCATGGCTCGGATGAGTTCTCACTTCGAGAACGGTATTATATACGAGAACGTTACCTCCAGGAGTGCCGTATTCGAGTCTGAAAACGGTGCTCGTAGGTATAGGTAGTATTTAGCCACAAGATAGCGGGGTCTCGTGGGCATAATGGTCTGGTACCGTAAAGTCGCAGCCCAAAAGTTCCACCAGAAGAAACCAACCTGACTCGACCTCTTTTCCAGCCCCTCGCCACACAGCAATACCCGTTTCTGGGGTGACATGATCTGATTTTTTGTTATAGAGTGCTCATGTATGAATCCGCATCTCTACATCTCTACTATACGCCCACGGTTGGTGCTTATGTTGACCACTGGTGGAACAGAATTAGAACGAAGTATTGAAGGGTGAAGATCAAACCTTAACAGCATTGTGCATGGTGTAGCGGGACGTGTGTCTCTCCAATATGAACACGAAGCTTTCTGATGTCCAGCGTAAACTCGACTCGGCAAGCAACTAGACGTACTTAGTACTCTGGGGTGATAATCAGGGAATAGTGCGGCGGACGGTAATGCCAAACACGTCCTCACTCTCTCGCTCACCCACTCACCATCTGGAGCCGAGTCCAGGTACAGCTTGAGTAGTTTGGTCTTACCCCGTTCGTCGAGCATCTCGCTCACACACACTACTACACCTCTCCACCTTTCACAACCTCGTCCGAATTAGTATTGTCACGATAGGGTGCCCTCCACGAGCTTCGGCTTTGGTTTCTATGGCTCGCACCATTGCATCTTATACAAATACGACTCCCCAGCGCCGCGTCGTCGTCAATCCATAGCAATCCTCCTCTTAATCATCCTCCAAATCATCCTCCCCCTCATCATATCCTAATTCTCACGGCTCCTGAACACTCTGCCAACACTCCGGAATCTCCCCACCCACTTGAGTAAACAGACCCTCTCCGAGTCCCTGGTCCATCGTTAACTCTTTGAATCCTTCAATCCTTCAATAATTTCCATTTACCTCTCAACAGGTACCGCATCTCATTTTTTGAGTGTGGAATACAGACTTATTACCCATCATGGCCGGGCCCGGGGCATTTTCAGTTTTGAAAGTGTTGGCAGCGATATCGCTGTGTGAGTGCGGATTCATGAAGCTAGCGGGTTATCTACCAACTCTTCCAACTCTACTCGACAACTCTGTGTCTTTCTTTCTATAGTAGAGATTGGAACATAGCCATGTCAGAGATGTTCGAACCATACAAGGGGAGAGGGGCCGAAGGGGGATTCAGGCGGTTGACACCAATACTCACTCGCCTACATGGTTGGTACCCCACCCCGTTTGAACACAATAGCGAACCCGTATAACCAACCTGTTACTGTGTTACACGGTTCTCCAACGGTCTTCACACGGTCTCCGAGGTAATGCAGAATTAAAAGTGAAAAAAAATAAAGTAAAAAATGGTCCCTGCAGGGGTCGAACCTGCGACCTTGGCGTCACTATATATCGATATATGTTCTCAACTAAATTGCAGTAAATCGCCTCCGATATTAGCACCACGCTCTAACCAACTGAGCTAAGGGACCTTTTTGTTTGAAACTCATGTTTGAGAATATAAAATATTCTCTCCCAGAACCACAAAATATAAGCGGTCTACCTAAAATTGATAGGAAAAAGAGACAGCGACGAATGCTGGTGGTGCGACGGACCCCGTCAGACCCCCGACCACCTGTTCAAGGAGTGTAGAACATGGAGAAGGGAGCAAGAGGGGCTCTGGAACACGCTGAGGAAAGAAGGGTTCATGAAGACGCACGCGTTGTCGACAATCTTCGCAGAACCCAGAGCCACCCCGGCGCTCCTAAACTTCATCCAAGACACGCTTGTGGGTAGGCCAAAATCAGAGGACGAGGACAGAGCCGAAGAAGAGCGGGTACATGAGGAATGGGGGTGGGAGAAAGAGTATGGAGTGGAGGAGGATATGAGCACATAGTAAATCAAGAGAAGAAAAGCCGGTGGGTATAGGAGAGTCTAAGTACACCGCAGTTTACCGCAGTGTACAGCTCAAAAGGCGGCCACTGCAAAGGCAGCAAGGTCGGCGAGAAAATGGTTGAAAACGGATGAAACAGAGTTTTTGAGTAGATGCAGTATAACACTGCGGAAAGGGGACGTTTTGTATGTTCTCGCGCCATATCCCAAAGGGACGCATGCACTAAAATGATTACAATGAATCAATCAATCAAGAACCACAAAACCACCATTAATGCATGTCCAGTCAATGGAGAGGCAGTTCGGGTCACTGCTGATTTTTAAAGCGTCGAGTTTGTTCAACCACTCATTTGACGTGTGGCCTAGCCCCATCAGCCACACGAGTTTGCGCTGGAGGAAGCTTGTCCGCTTCGCCAACCAACAAATTTGAATACCACAGCAACAGCTTGCAGTTCTGGCCACACAAACTGTAACGTACTTGGCGCAGGTTGAGTGGTCTAGAAGCTGCGAGCGGTGTTTTGGGAGTCCATGGGCCACCGAAAGACCGCCAGGAGGCCTCCTGCCCTTCCTCCTCCTCCTCCTCCTCCTCCTCCTCCCACCTGCTGCTCCTCGCCGACCTTCCATAACTGACAACTTCTCGCCTCGTCTCTCCACCACAGTCCGCCCTTTCCCTCGCCAACTCCATCTCCATCCAAACATCGCTGCCCTGCTCTCCACGTGTGGCAACGCCTGACCCTGTCATCGTCACCCGGCCAGCTGCACCGTGACACCATTCGACATCCCAGAATTCTGGATTCAACACCAACCTCCAACGTTCCCGCTTTCCGATTCCGTGCACCTCCAGCCTTATCACCCAGTCTCTCCCAGCAATTGCAACCATACCGCCACCGCCGGCCTTTCCACGAACCGACGACACCACGGCTGCCATCGAGCTTCAGCCGCTCGACCCCCTAGGACACGGACACCCCCGACCACGCCCCGTTGACGACGACCGCGAGAGAGAACGCGAGCAGCGCAGACGAGACCACGGCGACGGCAAGTTCCTGCAGAGGCTTGAAGCCCAGGAAGCCGGGATGAAGTTCTCGCACAGTGTGCAGTTCAATGCGGTGCCGGAGTGGGCCTCCAACTACATTGCCTACTCCAACCTTAAGAAGCTGTGAGTCTCTGCGGTTCGCGAGTACACCAGGTCCGTCTAACTCCATCTCTCTGTAGCATCTACTCTCTCGAGAAACGAGTTGTACAAACGTTGAATGAAGGCGGAGATACGGAGCACACGGCGCTCATCTCTGACCAAGTCGATACCGATGCCATCTTCGCCAAAGCCCTCGATGCGGAACTCGAAAAGATCTCGAACTTTTACAATGAAAAGGAGTCGTCTTTATTTTCAGAAGTAGACGAGTTGGCGAAGGACGCACAGGAGTTTCAAGAAGGAAGGTCACCAGATATTGATCTGGACGGATCTGGGATTCTGGACGAGAATCGTGTACGTCGCCGCTACTCCGACTGGCGAAACACTGGAAACGACGACGATGATAATGACGACTCGGATGACGACGAGCGAGGAGACCGCGCGGGGTTGATCCGGCCGAAAAGTAGACGACGCAGCAGTGTGCACTCAGGCGGTTCTGACGGAAGCCGTCCCCGGCGTTTTTCGATCGCTTATGGCGGAGACGGCGAAGATGATGAGGTTAACGTCCTTTATGATCTTCGCGTCACGCTTAAGAAGCGCGCCATCTCGCTCTTCGTTGCTCTCCGCGAGTTGAAGAGTTTCTCCCAGCTCAACCGCACGGGATTCCGAAAGGCCCTGAAGAAGTATGACAAAATTCTGGACCGCAGGCTCCTGGATAGGTACATGGGTGAAAAGGTGGCTCCGGCCAACTGCTTTACAAAGTCGACACTGGCCGGATTGGATGCAAAGATCGCCGAAGTGGAGAGGATATATGCTGCCATTGTGACCGATGGAGATTTGATGGCTGCCCAGAAAGATCTTAGGTTACATCTCCGAGAACATGTGGTATGGGAACGGAATACCGTCTGGCGGGAGATGATTGGGATTGAGCGGAAAGCGAATGCGGCGCACATGAGCCTTGAAGGCGTTCTCGGCGATGTTGCAAAGAAAGTCCAGTTGGCTGGAGACGATCCAGTTGTTCCTCGGACCAAGATCCTGCGGACACCGTTTGGTAGATTTGAAGTACCAATCTGGTTATTCTCGACAGGATTCTTTACGCTCGGCATAATCCTCGCTGTGTTTATTGCCTTGATCAACATCCCAATATTCGAGACTCCGGAACAGCAAAATTGCTTTGCCATGCTGGTGTTTGTCAGTTTATTGTGGGCCACGGAGGTGAGTCTCTTGTTTTCCGATGATAGAACATGGCTGATAATCTTAGGTCATACCCCTCTTCGTAACGTCACTCCTGATTCCCTTTTTGGTGGTCATCCTTGGTGTCGTTCGTCAAGATTCAGCTCCTCATCTCCGACTTCCTCCTAAAGAAGCGACTAAATACATCTTCTCCGCCATGTGGACTCCCGTAATTATGCTGCTTCTCGGTGGATTTACTCTCGCCGCGGCGCTCTCCAAATACGGTATTGCCAAACGTATGGCCGTCTTCGTCCTTGCGAAAGCCGGCACTCGCCCGAGAACAGTTCTCATCACCAACATGTTTGTCGCCATGTTCGCATCCATGTGGATCTCCAACGTCGCGGCTCCCGTTCTCTGCTTCTCCATCATCCAACCACTCCTCCGCAACCTCCCATCAGAGTCCGATTTCTCAGCGGCCCTTCTTTTGGGTATCGCCCTCGCCTCCAACATTGGCGGAATGGCCTCCCCAATCGCTTCCCCACAAAACATCATCGCCTTGGAAAACATGCACCCCGCCCCCTCCTGGGGCGTCTGGTTCTTCATCGCGATCCCAGTCTGCATCATCTCGATCCTGATGACCTGGGTTCTCCTCCTCCTCACCTTCCGCATCTCCTCCAAAGACACGACCATCGTCCCAATCCGGCCCATGAAAGACCCCTTCTCTCGCACAGAATGGTTCATCACCCTCACCACCATCGCAACCATCGCCCTCTGGTGTGCATCCCACCAACTCGAACAAGTATTCGGCGACATGGGCGTCATTGCGATCCTCCCAATCGTCCTCTTCTTCGGCACCGGAATCCTCACAAAAGAAGACTTCAACAACTTCCTTTGGACCATCATCATTCTCGCCGCAGGTGGCCTCTCACTCGGGAAAGCCGTCAACTCCTCAGGTCTCCTACACACGATTGCAACATCTATCCAACACCAAGTCACCGGCTACTCTGTCTATTCAATCCTGGTGATCTTCTGCTCACTCATCCTCGTCATCGCGACATTCATCTCGCACACGGTCGCCGCACTAATTATCCTCCCGATCGTAGCGCAAGTAGGGGCGGGCGTGCAGCACGCGAATTTGCTGGTCATGGGGAGCGCGCTGCTTTGTAGCGCCGCTATGGGGCTGCCGACAAGTGGGTTCCCGAATATGACGGCCATTATGATGGAGGATATGATGGGACGACGGTATCTGAGGGTGGCGCATTTTTTGACGAGAGGTGTGCCCGCGAGTGTGTTGACGTTTGGGGTCATTGTGACCGTGGGGTATGGGTTGATGAGGATTGTTGGGTTTTAGAGTGATGAGGGGAGGTAGTAGTGGATGCAAGGTTGGGTTGCGTGGATATAAGGGGTGGTTGCTGATGTGTGATTTGTTGAGCTGAGGTTGGACTGAAACTGGTGACGTTGAAGGGATAGAAATGAGTGGGCTTGGAAACCGTATCTACTGAGAAAGATATACCGCCCCTGTCCTGTGTTCTATGTTCTATCATAACGTGTCGATTAGTAGTAGCCCAATGATGACTATTGTATCTTGTTTGTAGAGTACTTTTAGTATCTACATCGCGATATGGACAATACCTTCCATCAACTCTTCCATCAACTGACATACACTGGCATGTGACTTCAAGTTCTAGGGCGGCAGAGAAATGGCATGACGATGACGATGGCCCAGGGCGATGGCGGTCACGATGATGAAACATCATGATGGGCTACTAGTGCTATAGTACTGTGTTGTGTGTACGGTGCTGGGATTCAGCCAATCCACTTTGGTATTCGGTTGAATGTTTGCCGTCTTCTGGGTGCCATAGGGTGTGGAATTGTTGTTGGAGTTTGGGGAGGAGAAGATGCCATGGGGAGTGGAGTGGAGAGGAAAGGGAGAGGATGGGGGATGAGGTGGGTTTTGGAGTGGAATAATCCCGTGGGGGGATACGAGGAGAGGTTCAAGTTGGAGGTGACTTGGGTATGAGTGCTGGTGATAGTGGATGTTGAATTCTTTTCACGCCGCAATCTTCAACCGTCAGGTGCGAGTGTTCAAAAACCATAGCTCTTCCCCAAAATCTCCAATCCCCAAGCATTCTTCCAGCACGGAAGGCTAGAACTTGGAAGAACAAGTATTATTTCTATACCGTAGCGGACATACACTAGATACGCAGTTTTACAGCTACCCACAAGTTAAATCCTGAATCTGCATGCTTTATGCGATGGCGTCACATCCCGTCGAGATCCCCAGCTTCACCACTATCA